ACAGCATAAAGTAGGATGGAACAAACTGCTGCGCAGTAAACCCATCCTTTCGTTGATAAACGGATATCTCGCCTACGCCATAAATGACGCAAGTTGGCAAAAGCTAGTCGAGCCTTCTGTATCCGTGTTGAGATTTCGTCACACAGCAGACCACAAGGGTTGATGAGACTTCCAGATAAGTGAAGCGATCGACATGCTCAACAAATTCACTCCCTATCATTATTTTGGGCGTCGATGCAACCCAATCCTGAAGCAACATTTTGCGTTTCGAGGAGAGAATCGCATGCCGAACATGCTTGTAATGTTGCTTATAGTGGTCAGAAGACTATATTATGTCAGCGTTTTCACCGAATAGAACTATATCATTGGCATATTCTAGGTGAGAATGTGAAGCGCACGGTAGAAGTTCAACCCCCCGAAATTTAGATGAGGAAAGTCATATCTCTAAAAGCACGTCAACGACAAAATTAAACAAGAATGGAGAGAGTGGACAGCTCTGACGAACACCACTTAAGGTAATCAATTCTTTAATAAACGGAATACACCCATTATGACATTAAATAAGAAAGAAAGATTAGTTCAGCGAAGAGTTCTCTTTTCAGCGAATTCATTTTCAAAGCTGTACAATCGCAAATATATATACTTATTTATACAGGGTGATAATAATACTGATAATAAACTTATGATATACATGGTGACGGAGAGGTTAAATAAACAAAGGTATTAGAAAAATTTTTTTAAAAAAAACAAGGAAAGTTTGATAGATAATGGCTTAGATAGTCATCGGGTAAGAGTAGCTCAGCATGATAAAATAACATAAAATGTTGAAACAGAGATGAAATGTAATCGGAATGATCGTTGAAATAAAAACAAACCGGTTGGGGGTACAAGATTTGAAGGGAAGATGGGAGGTGAAGCAGGTGGCTGTAAAAGAACAAGAGTAATGAGAAAGAGAAAAAAAATTTTTAATACATTAAGACCACGGTAAAAGAAGAGGTTGTACCAGTCTCTTTTGTACACATAATTCTGGTTTTTCAAAATGTATGGCTATTGCCTCGGCAATGCAAAGGAGATGTAGTCTAATTGTCTTAAGAAGGTTTCTACTTACCTTGTAGATGACTTTGAACGCAGAGTCTGTCTTGATTGAGTGACCTATGTTCACAAGGTGTTCGATTATAGAACTTCTTATTGAACCGCTGCCTCCTCTTCTTAGCCACGCCGGACAATGTTCTTGAATTCTTTTGGATAAAGTACGCATCGAACGACCTATATACCTAGCTCCACAAGAGCAGGTAATCAATTCTGATGACAGTTCGCCATATGAAAAAATAACGACCACAGATTAGTGTACTTACTTACTTTCGCCTGTTACTCTTAATGGAGTATAGGCCGCCGACTGGCATCCTCCAGCCCACTCTGTCCTGGGCCTTCTTTTCTAGTTCCATCCAATTCTTGTCCATTTCTCTCATGTCTATTTTCATTTCCCGGCGTAATGTGTTCTTTGGTCTTCCTCTTCTCCTTTGGCCTTCGGGATTCCATGTGAGGGCTTGTCCTGTGACGTAGTTGGGTGCTTTCCTCAAAGTGTGTCCTTTCCACTTCCAGCGTTTCTTCCTCCGCTGGGACCTGGTTAGTTTTCTCCCACAGTAGGTTGTTGCTAGTCTGGCCAACGGATCCGAAGTATTTTGCGTAGACAACTGTTAATAAACACCTGTATCTTCTGGATGATGGCTTTCGTAGTTCTCCAGGTTTCTGCCCACGTACAGTAGAATTGTCTTGACATTTGTATTGAAAATCCTGACCTTGGTGTTGGTTGACAGTTGCTTTGAGTATGGCAGTGTAATAATAAAAACGGGGGTAACGGAAACGTACAATCAGAAGAAATCTTTCAGTTAAGGAAGATACAATCACCTTTTATGAAGTTAAAGAAATTTACAGCAGGATCGCCACTGGCTTCTATTCTGAGCCATATCTGATAAAGACTCTAGTCACTGAGTCGCACCATCTCTCGAATCCCAGCCAGGAAGTTGTGAAGGACCAACACAAGCCAGCCCTTTGTAGCTTTCTTTCATACTACGACACCATGTCATACAATTACCACCTCTCCACTTTTCCAACCAGTCACAGAGTCGGCAAATAATGCACGACGTGTAATTCTCTGGGACGACATTCGCACATACCGTGCCCACGGACATTGATTGCCAACTGATTAAGTGCGGAGTGCATGGCTTCGGCATTATCGCAGAGTAAAACATTATCATCCGCATACTCAAGGTCGAGAAGTCTTTCTCCAGGCAACAGATCCACACCGCCATTACTTACATCTATCAGAGCCGTTTCCAGAATGTCATCGATGGCAAAGTTGAAGAGGAATGGTGAGATTGGGCAACCCTGTCTAACCTCACTGCTCGAATGGAACAACGGAGAAAGATGGTTGTATGCCCTCTCTCTGCCTGAGGTGTTTGTATATAGGGCCTTTAAAATGTTAATAAACTTTGAATTTGAATTCCATAAACAAGTGATTATAAATTTTCTTATTTTTAGATCTATACAAATGCTTATTTACTTCACTTACGCCTTTTACTCCTCGTGAAGGAGCATAGGCCGCTCACCAGCATTCTCCATCTAATCCTGGACAATCCTTTCCAGCTCTTTGCAGTTGTTATTCATCCTTTTCATATCTGATTCTATTTACCGACGTCAGATGTTCTCTGACCTTCCTCTTTTCTGCTTCCCTTCAGGATCCCAATTTACGGCTTGCCTCGTGATGCAGTTTGACGATTTGTGTAATGTATATCCTATCCATTTCCATCATCTTTTCATAATTTCTTCTTCAGCTAGAAGATGGTTTGTTCTCTCACAGAAATGGCTGTTGCTGATGGTATCCGGCCAATGAATGTTGAGTATCTTGTGTAGACAGCTATTTATAAATACTTGTACCTTCTTGATTGCGATTGTTGTAGTTCTCCAAGTTTCAGCTCCGTACAGTAGAACTGCCTTGACATTCATATTGAAGATTCTCACTTCGATAGTGGTTGAAAGTTGTTTTGAGTTCCATATGTTCTTCAATTGTAGGAATGCGGCTCTCGCTTTGCCAATCCTCGCCTTTACGTCTGCATCTGATCTTCCTTGTTCATCGATGATGCTTCCCAGATTTGTGAAGGGTTCTACAACTTCCAGAATTTCGCCATCAAGAATGATTGGATTGCTGTTCTCCGCTTTGAATTTGAGGACCTTGGTTTTCCCCTTGTGTATGTTGAGTCCTACTGATGCAGAGACTGCTGCTACACTGGCTGTTTTTACCTGAATTTGTTCGTGTGATGCGATAGGAGGGTTAGGTCATCTGCGAAGTCCAAATCGTCTAATTGATTCTGAGCTGTCCATTGTATTCCGTGTTTTCCCTCAAATGTCGAGATCTTCATAATCCAGTCGACCAACTGAAGAAAGAAGAAGGGAGAGGGTAAACAGCCTTGTTTGACTCCGGTCCTTACTTAGAATGCATCTGTCATTTGTCCTCCATGCACGACCTTGCACTATAGTCCGTGGTATGAGTTCCGGATAATGTTGAAAATCTTCTCAGGAACTCCGTAGTGTCACAGAGGTTTCCATAACGTTCTCCTATCTACACTGTCAAATGCCTTTTCATATTCAATCAAGTTGGTGTACAGTGACGAGTTCCATTCAACCAATTGTTCAACAATGGTCCGTAGTGTCACAATTCGGTCTGTGAACGACCGATCCTTACGGAATCCAGCCTGTTGATCTCGAAGTTGGGCGTCTGCTGCATCTATCATCCGGTTCAGCAACACTCTGTTAAAGATTCTCCCTGGTACTGACAGTAGTGTAATGCCTCTGTAGTTTTCACATTTGCTCAGATCTTTCTTTGGAGTCTTGATGAGATGTCCTTCTTTTCAGTCCATCGGCACTTGTTTTTTCTCCCAAATCTCTTTGAATAGAAGGTGAAGCATGTTTGTAGTTACTTCGATGTCTGACTTCAGCTGGTATATTGTCGGGTCATGCATTTGAACACAAATTAATGCAGAATGGTTTCACTGTTATATGAACGGAAATTCTGGTCGTTAAAACAAAATAGAACGCTGACAGAAAGGTAGATGGAAACTTTGATTCGATGAAGGCGTTCTGGCCGTTCATGAATGTGTTGTTGCGTCCAACTGATTTGGTACAGAAGACAAGACTAGTGATCAGAAAGGCAGTTTGTTATGAAATAAAACGGAATTGTTGTAAAATATTAGAAGAAATCAGCTTGTAGACCACTACCTTTCAATCAATGAAGACTTGATGGTTAGGTCTAACTCTTGAGCGTCATATCAGTAAGCACACATACTTGCTAAGGCTTTAGTGTTCGCAACAATGTGCAAGCTTTATGGTTTACCAACAGAAGACAAATGAAATGCACGAGCTGCATAAAAAATTATATGTTTATCGTAAACAGTAAGTTTTAACAGACACAAATTGAAACAATATCCCAACAGTAATTATCGATCAAGAGAACTAACCTAATGTCTAGATTGGAAGTTCACACCACAAGAATTAGAAAACTCATATCATGTGAGATTAAACATTAGTAGTACAACCCATGTGAAGAGAATAATTTGCAAACTACTGTTCTTATAGTGGTGTAGTTTTTTAGGAGCTGGGGTTGACAACTCTCCTCTCAGTCGCTTTTTACTGGGCTTGGGAAGTGTAGCGACCCGACTGTTTTGTGGACGGAATTTTTTCGGCTTAACGGTTTCGATAAACTGGGGAAACTAAGCACGAAGGTCGTCTTATTCCTTTTCGCATGTCATAAATTCAAAACGTTTTAAGTAGTTGTACTCAATTTCTTTGCATATAATTTACTAACGTAATATGCTACAGGAGAATAGCTGTTATTTTATTGATTATTTAGAGCAAATTAACCCACAAAATAGTTCGCAATTAATTGGTCCGAATCTTATGATATTATCAGCTAAACAATACAGTTCGTCAGTAGAAGACTACGTGCATGCACGATTTCGTTTATATTGTTAACAGATCTGTATAAAGCACATCTAATTTCAAAATGAAAGCCAAGATGTATTAAAGTACTGGGATACATTAAATGACATGTTATAAATACGCAAAACAAAAGGTCTAAAGGATATTTTGAAGAAACTATTGAAGCAATACAAATTTTATTGAATAATAGCCATCAGAAACAGTTCTATTCATTACGACAACGAATATCTTCATATTCACACCAGCCAGCAAATAGATGCACAGGTCTATCGCAACGTAAAACAAGTTAACGACATGAGATCAACATACATCTTACAGAAACGATTTAACTAATAAAAAAAACTGAAAGTTACGGATTGTCTATGACTAAATGGAGATAAGACCACATAACCACACTCTATATTTAAGTCGAAAAAAAGCTGTAAAAATCACTTTAGCAATATGTAAGTTAAGAAATCAGTAGGGGGAAATATTATTCAGAGGCAAACAGATTATTACGGACCGTAAACCTTACTTAAAATTAGTAAAATTCTGAAAAATGAATGTAAATAAGATATTTAGGGATTAATGACATCCATACTTGTATGAGTTGAACAGCATTAAAGCAACTGAAACCAACAAAAAATATGCATATAAATGTTTTGGTAAAACGATGGTACTTCGTTCAACTACAATTAAAACGAGAAGTAAAATCGCATCGATCGCAATCACCGGAACATAAGAAATAAATGAACATAGTTGCTTACCAAAGGGACAAAGAACAGCAGAAAGAAAAATTATTCTTTAAAGTGGTAATAATAATATTTTGACTGCAGGATAACCAGACACATAAAATTGAACTTGATTTTAGTCTCATGATTGTTAGGAAATGAGTACAATTAAATCAACCCTGAAATTGTACGTATAATAAAACAATCAATATGTCAGTGGACACAAATTATTAATGAGAAGTTAGTCTAATGTATTTTTTGATCTTAAGCATTGTTAGATCAATAATGACTAGCAGTTACCTATGAAATCATAACTGATTTATTTTTTCAATGAGATTTGAGCAATCATAGTAATACTCCTAAAACAAAAGAAAGGGATTTTAACATTATCCCACCAATAAACGTTAACAAAACAAAATTTCAAGAGGTTAACAATTTGCGAAATCAATGCGTAACAATCTATTGAAGTGGTCTTCGTAATAGAACCTTCAGATTATCAGAAAGACAAAAATTTAATTATGGTCTGCCAAACTTACCTCAAATTATTGAAGTAAATTAACCAGAGAAAACATCATACGTTAATGAAGACATAAAAGTATATGCCTATGTGAACAGAATTGTACATTTATATACAGCTAATAAATAATAATCGAAGAAAAATATGAGAACATGAACAAAGCAAAACCAGAAGTTATAGAAAGACGTAAGTAGAAATGTGAGTATACAAAGATGGGCATTGTGTTAAAAAAACGTGTTACTGGCAGAAGATAAAAACGAAACTGGTACATGCCCTAATACATTTTTTGTTACGATAGATAAGAGCTAGTCCTCCCAACCGGAAGAATTACTGTCTGCATCTTTGTCGTCATCGTCATCTTCCGAGGAATTATTTTCCATACATTCCCGACGACGCCTAACAGCTTCATAAATCGCCTGAAAATGAAAACATGAAAAATAGGAAAATACTTAAAGAAGTCAAACAGAATAAACACAAGATAATATATCACGCAGGATAACAGCTACGGATTAATCAGTTCTGAAATAGGCTACTACGAGAAAATACTAAACCAACTTGATCAAGAAATGTAACTACTTACAGAAAGAGAAAGCAATGGGACTCTTGGATGTGTGTAGCGGGGGTGATATTTACGAAATTGAAAGGACGGAAAGTGAGTGGTCCGGTGATTTAACAGGATTGGTGGACATGCAGGATCCACCTAGGACAATTGGAAAACAATGCTTCCTGATTCTAGGGATATTCCAGATAACTCCCGTTGATAATAAGGATATTATTCAAACTAATTAATTACAGTTTCGTAGACAGTAGAACGAGTACTGGAGCACCAATTAAGTTAAAAGAGGTAACAGAAATTTCGTCAAATCAATGACATAAAAATTATGAAGGTACAAACTACATTAATCACTAAAACGAAGGGTACAAAAAAAGCTAATTACTTTGAAGAGAAAAAGAATCTAAACGAATAATTTCATACACATAGTTCCCTTTATTATCTTAAAGAGAGCAAGAACAAAGATTGGTGCAGAATAATATGAATTCATTTTATTTCGTTAGGTTCTCATCAGCTGCTTACAGCCTAAAATATTTGAAATTCAAATTATTACAGATATTGACATATTTATACATAAGAGTATGATGAAGGATCAATACATGTGTATAATGATGTAGCAAAGATTCAGATAGAGTTAATGAGCTCATAAAATGTTTGATTCGAATAAATAAATAAAGTTAGAGAGGGAAAGTTCCAGAACATCGAAATAGTGATTAGAACTCATGAAAAAAGATTAATGGTAATGAAGAAAATATGAATTGAAATCAATCAAAAGGTTGGAGTTTGATGTTTGTTAATCACCTTGAAGGACTTCAGTATATCGACTTCATGTCCTGTATCAAGATGTCTTGCGATGGCACTGTTGAATGCGTTCAATCCATTTAATCTTTAACTTTTCGGAATATGTTCTTTGAATCGGACGTAGGCTCTCCTTTCTGTTCTACCAATGTAACTGCTTTGGCAGATACATGTAAACGAATAAACTAGAAGGCTCGAACAGAGTTGTGTTAGAAATCTAGGGCTTTATGTTGTCAATTCGTCTGTACCATTGTGTAGATAGAAAGGCATGTCATTAGTGCTTCCAAATGACTTCATTTTAAGGAGATCAACGGTAAATTCTAAGTGGTTTTTGGGAATCTAGATTCCACAACAGGAAGCTAGATCACCAGAAATCACTTGGCAAACTTATTTTTGTAATTTAACCATAAAAATTTGGATTTCACATTTTTGCACCAAAAGTGGACACTGTCACCTTCCGTTCGTGCTTCCATCTGGAAAGATCCTAAGCATCTCTGGTTTGTTTTCTCATTTAGTACGTTATCTCATGACACTCGACAAAATTTTTGTAATAACATAGTTGAGGAGACTACACAATTGCCGTAATCGAGATTATTGAGATGAAGGAATATTAATTTATGATTCTATACAAAATTCATCAATACAAGCACTGTGTTTACAAACTTTGGTAACTTGAATGAGCAAGAGGCATTAGTCACCTTGACTATTGAAATGTAACACTTCCCTTAAACGACGGGATGTAGTACATTTGAAAGTAGATACATACAAACGAAGTTTAAGAAACTTAAGATCAGTGAAACTAACTTGAACATCCTTAGGTTTGTTTACCAGAGTTGATAAACTATTTGCACGGCTAAATTTCGATTGATCGGGAAGATTTCGTTCACCCACTTTGCGTAACTGACAGCCAGCGCGTATAGCAGAAAGCAAATCTGCAGGAGGACACTGAGGTACACTGCATCGTGGGATAGTGTTCTTAGTTGGTAAAGCTGCTTGATTGCTTGGACTTTCAGACCCAACTTTCTGGTTTGGTATGAAGGGAGGTGGAGGTGGGGGTGGTGGAGGTTGTGTAGATGAGCATAGAATAGATGTTTGAGGTGGCGAAACAACAAAAGGTGTCACTGGAGGAGGAAGGGTCGAAGAAGCGGATATATGATCACAAGTATCCGACTCGCTAGGCTGTTTGTTGGGTTTAAAAGGCTCATTGAAGTTCTTCGCCTCGAAAATCGGCGCGGGAGGAGGTGGAGGAAGATTGTGTGGTGCCGATGATGACTGAAACATAAATGCAAAAATGGGAGAATTATTCGGAGTAGGAACAAAGCCAGGTTAGCAACAGACTAAGTAAATCTATAGAACTAAAAAAGAGCTAGCTTTTAATTATATATATATGAACTACAAAATTCAAATCAATTGATCATATGTTTAATCTACTTAATAACTACTTTACGATTACATTAGTTCACAAACGCTTGCAATAAAGTAAGTATTACAGTCATCACATAAGAAAACAAAACAGGAGTTAATTGATGGATTCACATTCCATTCACATTAATTAACTATTAATCTATGTGGGGGCATGATGCATGTATAACATGAATTAACTCTAATCGCAGTAAAAAATGACTGCAGCATTTTAACTTTAAGCTTATGGAAGAAACAGCTAAAAGGTCAAAAAACTTACCGATTCCATACCTACAGAATTAATATACTGAGACTGTTTCTCTTTGCCATCATGCATTTGTGTGGGTGATGATATCCTATCACCCCCATCTTTTCCAGTTGGGTCTCTGCTAGCAGCTTCATCATTTGGATGTGAATTTTCGCTCATATCTAAAAAGTTGAATAAAAACTAGAAATACCCAAATTAACATAAAAAGTACAACACAAACGTAAATAAAATACTTGGAAAGATAAACAAATCAGATATATGTAAACAAATAGAAACGGAATTTACGAAGACGTGCTGCGAAAAATTATATATATATATATATATATATAAAGTATAATTCAGGATCCGGGATAACTGTGTACCAGTCCACGCCACAAAACACCAGCATTATGAAAGGAAATAAGCAAACGGAAAGCGTATGAAATGGAAATAGTGTCCATAGTCAATGACTGTGAAGATACATTCTTGAAGCTTGTCAAAAAATTCTGACAGCTCCTCTTGAAGATCTTGCCAACAAATCCAAAAATCTATGGAGTAAGGTTGGACGTTCAGTAGTGTTAATATTTGCAAATCTTTTCTCTTCAGAACGAATGCCAGAGAAAAATATAAATCCTGTGAACATAGAATAACCACCACACCGGTGCATCGTTTGATATGATACAACTAATTACTAAACTGGTTTTCAGGTGTTACATGAAACAAGGAAATAAGCACAACCAAAAGCTAAGAAAACGAATAATAATAATAATAATAATAATACCTACTGTAGCGATGAAATAAACATAAAATATAAATAAATAATATATTTGTAATATCTCAATGAGTAGAAAAATTCTGACCTTGGTAACGATACCTACAAAATTATTAATAAGGAAAGTAGTTTGAAAAACGCAAATGAGATGAAAATTATGGGATGATACTAGGCTAAAGATGTAGAGGGTGAACGAATTCAATTGTATATGTAAGAGACCGATACTATATATACTAAATTGAAACTTTATCACGTAACATCCAAACGATGTATCAGATTGTGAATAAAAACACACATATTAAGCGGTTTAAACCAACCTGAGACTTTTAACTCTCCGTCGCTCAAGAACGCTGGAGGAAGTGGTGGTGGTAAAATAAGAGATGTCATCTGTGTATGGAGTGCGGGAGGGTCAGGAAGAGTCATCTGATGGGCTGGTGAAGGGTCTTGGTTGCTACAAATGTTGTTGGTAACTGAAGGAAACTGATTAACACCACTAAGGTCAGGTTTAGTTGGGCAATAACCACTCTTTTGATTAGATGCGTGTCGAAAATCCTGTACATTATCAACTTGTGTTGACGAATGAAGAGCATTTGGTGGAGGTGGTGGAGGAGGTAATGAAGGATTTCCGAAATCCCCATTATTTAGAAACTGATGCTGGGTGGGTTTACCGTTGACAATATTGACATTCCTATCCATATGAGAACTGGCATTAACAGGACTGTTTTGTTCGAATAACGGTGCAGGAAGTTTATGGCCACCAACTCCTGGTTGCTGAATGATAAGTTGAGGTTTCTGAGCTCCCTGATTAGATCCACTTTTAAGTGGAGCAGCTTTTCCCTTTCCTTTTGGTCTCTAAAATAGGTATTTTACCCAAAACAGGTTACAAGCTTCAAAGATTAGGATATTTGGTTGTATAAAATATTACTAAAACTGGAACAAAAAGATTATATCCATGAATCACTTTACTTTCTTACAGTCCCCTATTTTTATCTAAGCGCAGACACAGAAAAAAAGATCGTAAATGAATGCAACACAAATCCAGGCCTGTGAATTAGAATGAATTGTATTGCTGTAAGTTGGTTGTGATAAATGGTCTTCTATGCAAACATACATTTTCAAGTGACAGCAAGAAAGTGAGTCGAGGAATTTAGTATCATCGCTTTTAAAACTGCTTCGAAAATCCCAACAAAACACTTACTTTTTTATGGTTAAAATCGGTTATGTGTCAATGAGTAAGGAAGAATATGCTATGGATCAATCTCAGTGCTAATTGTAGCATTTGTTCGCAGAAAACGTTCGGTGACATTAAAATTCAAGAGAACTAAGAGAACTGTGGCAAGACAGACGTTGAAGGGGAATGCGACCTTGTAACATAGATATGGGTATGAAATAAATGAGACGATCAATTTTCACCGCCTGACAGAAGAGCAAAAAAAGAAAATACAACTAAACAAGAATCCTACAATTCAATAGACGAATATGTAGTTGGATATAAATACAAAACTTGATCAAAACCTTTAGTTGTAGCGACATGATTAAAAGCGTCAAACGAAACTGTAGAATTCACTAGCATCATAAAGTGGAAGGGTTTAGGACCGAAACATATGATACTAATTGCATCACTCCAAAAGTCGGCTTAGTACTAATTTTCAAAAAAGTCACCAGATGATTTAAGAACTGAGACTGATATATACTTCAATTACGAAATCCATGTAATCACATAGCAAGAGCACGTTTATTATTGAAACCATAAAAAGAAGATCAGGTAAGTACTAATAACTTTGTCATTTAAAGAAGGAAATAATCTATAAATGCTTAGATGGTCTAGATAAAACAACAACGAATGCAGCTACAAACATAGGTTGCAAATAGAAGAGATAAGAAAATAACCGATTAATGGATCAGCAAAAATTACTTTTTTCTTGGCGGCTCTTTTATGTTTGCGATCTTGTAACATTTCCTGACTCCATAAATCAAAGAAAAAGCTGGGATCTGAATACAACCTCATGCTAGTTTTCTTATCATCTCTGAGTTCATCCATTTGTTGAAGTGCTGGAGCTGCTTCTGCTTGATCATATTGTGACCGCATAGAAGGAGGTATGGTATTTTGATTTAATACCTAACTAAAATGAAAAGGTAGAACAATTTACCTGGCTATCAGTTGGTTTTTTGCTAGAGAACACCGGAATCTCAACTTCTTGTACTCCAGCAGTAAGGTCTTCGTCACCGCTGCGCGCCATTTGCATATCTTCATGAAGTTTTCCTAGACGATTTTGCAGACGAACAGTCCGCTCAACTAGTCGAGAAAAATCGGTAGTGAGTTCTTCGAACATGGTGTTGGCCAATCGGCTAACTGATGCTATCTGTCTCATGACATTGCAGACCGTGGAATTAACCACAAATTCCAACTCATTGTCGATGCCATTCGGGACAATTACCTGACTGAGTTTGACCGGTTGAACTGTATGTTTAGGAAGTGGCATATTTTAATGCTGAAACTGAAAAATAGTAAATTACTCTATATAATAGATAAAGCAACAATAGGCAACTTTGGAAGGAAAATTAATGTAGCTTACCAACAAATACAAATAAAAGTCTGATGTGGATTCTGATCAAATCGAAGTAACTTGTTCGCTGAGCGTGTGGCTTCAGAGCAGTGTCTGGGTGAGAATTGGTGATACCGCCTAAATGCTTAAACTAAAGTTGGCGTAACAGGTTGGCAAACTTTCCCTTATTGGTTAAGAACTGAATGCCGTTTAGGTCAAACCGAAGTAGTTGTAGCTTTCAAAGCCAACAATTTATTGGATCAAAACAGGATGTTTTAACCACTGGAACGACGTTCCAATTTGGAAATGACTAATTGTAAAAACTTAGTGCACTCTTTATGGTTTACTTCAGGCTGTGCTTACAGTTAATGAGAAAAGCGTTATCAACACTTATGTACAATTTTTTAACATGATTAAATGTCTTGGTAGGACTCATCGATTTGTGCTTAACAACATATTTTCAATTCAACAACAAAATCTACGAACAAACAGAAAATGAGCAATTGTTGCCAAGAGTTGTAAAGCAAACGCAAACTCAATTATGTAGAAGTACGTCATGTACTCAGATTAGAAACATTCCTGGGCTACTGTCCGTTGTCACAAGCTCCATCACCTAAGAAACAACACCACTAACTAGGAAAACTCATCCAAACTCTGACCTCACAGTTTGAGAGTCTTCATATACATCACTTATAATGTCTCAGGGTGAAAGCCAAGATTTCTCAGAAGTCACGAGGCTGATACTCCCTCCGACAAACAGGGTAACGGTAAACATGGGTACGCCGAATATCCGAACAATATACGAGACCACAAGTACAAATTGAAAAAACAAAGAAAAGCACAAACACAAGCTGACCGGCATTAGAATAGGAGCACTAACTTGAGACAAGCTGTCACCGAAGTCTAGTCATAAAGAAAGTGCCCTCCCACACACACACAAACACAAGGAATTTTACTAATAGTGTCAAGAGAAAAATAGAATAAACAAATCTAGGATGGGAGACTCAGAAATTCGAGACTATCACAGCATCTCCCGAAACAAAGAAGGGAAGGATTATGATGAATGTGATCCTGTGCTATGCACCCACCAACGATAGCAGCGAACATGATAAACAACATTCTCATGAGGCTGCAGACCATCGTAGGGTAAGGTTTGGGGAAACACATGACCATCCTGAAAAGTAGAATTTTGTAAATTCTCCATTGATACTAAGGAGTACCTAGGAAAGTCTTCACCATTACATGGAGCCCCAACACCGGACTGAACTGCAGAGTCGTGCATGGTGAGCAGATGACAGATCAACTACAGATAAAAACTCGTATTAGACAAACCTTTCGAATCAAGTATTTTCACTTCCTTCTGGTTGTTCACTGGATTATGAAGACAGCATCTCAAGAAAAACACGAAATCCAGCGGACACGTTGAACGCAGCTGAGTGACCGATCTTGTAAATGACTTGATCCTGCAATCGCAAACACAACAACAAATGCAAAGACAGCCATTGTACCAACAGCTCTCACAGTAACATGCCCCAACACAGAGGAAACAACATGCTTCTGAAGCACAACACATTGAGAACCAGTCAAATCACACTGGCAAAGCTTCTGAAGAGGTAGGAGCCTTAACGTACCTGAGCAGCATCGTCGATAAACTAGGAGGATCTGATGCAGATGCAAACGTACGAGACTGTACTGCAAAGGCAACACTTCTACAACTGAAGAATATCTGGAACTCAAAACAACCGATACCCACTACCAAAGTAAGAATCTTCAACACTAACGTTAAAACAATTCTATTGTATGGAGCTGAAACTTGGACAATTGTCACCACCATCACCAAAAGAGCAAAGGTATTCACAAACAACCGGCTGCGTGAGATACCCCAAATCCATAGGCCAGAGACCATCAGCAATGGCCCATTCTACTAGTGAACGAACCTGCTCCATGTTAGAGAGGAAATTAGAAGACGCTAGTAATCGATAGGACACTGCAGAAATAATCAAACTGCATCAAAAAGCAAGTCCCAACATGGAATCCTTAAAGAAAAAAGGAAACGGGACGTACTGAGGGACATATGGTGCCGGAAATCGGAAGCAGAAACCAAGATCAGGAATAACACTCAGCAACGACTGAAAAGCAGAGCCTCAGACAGGGTGACTGAAGATTGCTGCTCGGTGGTCTATCCCTCAATAGGGGTAACAGACTTAATTAAGTGATAAAGAGAACGGTTGGATATTGAGGACATGATTTGGAAAGGCAGACTAGAAAGGCATGTGTGAAATAATGCTGGAATTCGGGATCGATGGGCAAATAAAGCATTTATGAGTTCGCGCCACTGTGAACGGTTTTGATTCATATCACTCTACAACCAGTGGTCACATCTACGTAATAGATCCTGACCAGGTGGCCTGTATTCATCAATATGACTTAGACTAGCAGTTATCGACTTCATAGATTGGTCTCATCTCACGTTGTGGCCGTTTCAGTCTGAAATACATAGGAGACTAAATGTAGATATTTTGTGAAGATAGCAGTGAACAGCCTACTAAAATCGAAAAGTGCAGTCCCCTTAAAACAGTAACCTTAAGGGTCAAAGTTAGTGTTTTGTCACCAAAATGAAACAACAGCCCGAGATGGTTCAACTTAAACTACTACCATCTAAACAGGTTATATGAGCCTTACTGAACTGACCGATGCAGAGGACTGCTGGCTGTGTGTGATAAGAGATACTTAATCTGCTTGAAGTCGAATCTGAGAGAAAACAGAACTCTAACCCATCACGTCGTCGGAGCACTTTGAAGAAACGGACTATGTTGGGAAACTACATCAACTTGAAATTGCTAGTTTTTCTAAGTGTACAGCAGTAGTTGTACCGGATTATACTAATAACTCAACGCCCACACACAGGAATTCGATACTTCAGAGGCATACTACGACCGATTATAGAATAGGTTTATCCTTAACGAATCGTTTGAACTATAATTATTTAATGATAATGACATGTAATTCCCGACTTTGAAAGGACCACGTACACATACCCATGCAGTGATGCCATGATCACATACAGAGTTCGGGATCTCCAGGTTCAAAATGAGGCAAAGGCTGGGGACAAACTGATTCTTAGATCCGAGTTAACCAGATGTGATTTTAGTAACGATCTTCTGAGACTTTACAATTATGGGTTGATAAGAATTGTCCTCAGAAATAATGACAATTATGCACCTTGGTAACTATGGAGGCAAAGGTAACCAGAAACTGTTCATATCCACAGTCTTCACGATAGCTCTCCGAATACCCTTTTTTGGCTATGTAAAACGTCGTCGTATCACTTCCACAAGTGAACACACAGTAGGCTTCTAATAATCATAAATTGTCATGATTCGATCTTCCGGATAGCAACAATATTTATCCAAGTGTACTACACGTTGATGAATTAAGACTGTTGTTAAGATTTCTTTGGAACTACCCACGTCTAACAAAGTTAACGGTCATTTCGATTTCACTTCTGAGACTTATTTGGATGGCTGAGAACCAACCCATATGCTCGGCGTGATAGTTGACAAAAGTGGAAAGTGTTTATTTAAACTCGTCAATAGACTACACTATTGGTATCCGAAAATTGATAAATGGATGAAATAAATTGCTTGGAATAGCAAGTTACCAAGTACTACAAGAAAATACAGTTCCAATGTCTTACGCAACACTTTGTGACTTTATTTCCCTTGTAGTACTGACAATACGATGTGCTGGGAAAAATAAACATCGTCGTTAACAGCGCGTAGAGCAATGTGAGGGGAGCTGAGAAAGAGAACAAAGGCAAAGGTCAAGCGACAACTCAGTAAGAGTACAAAATGTACTTACTTTTAACAAGAAGAGCAATCGATAGCAATTATCAGCAACACGAGTGTGAAAATAAAAGTCAGACAGACGAAACTTGAGTAAGACTTCAAACCTACTGCAATTTGTAAGTCAATATATGGAACGCCTAACTTCTGTCTAATAAAACAACTAAACAAGCAACCATACTCTGATAGTGAAGAAAATAAATTTTCAATGTTCAACAAAAATGAAATATCAAATATTTTCGTGCATTCTTCGATTCATTCAGTGAGCCAGCACTGCATACGAAAATTTGATCCATATTGCAGACTCTTTCAATCTCTTAAGGCTATCGGCATATAAATTTTCTACGAACAGGAACGGCAGCTCATTCCAAGTTGGCAGATTAATTAAGCAAATAAAATGAGTTACGCGTTGAAATAGAATCCACTTTGAGAAGTGTGTTAAAAAGCTAAAAGTGTTTAGAGATAAATACATCAAACAAACGGCTTTATCGGTCTTCGGTTTTGATTTTCATCTGATTATTTTTGCTAGACACACCTCTGGCTGAGAGCACTCGGTCATGCATCTTCACCAGATTATGTTTGGGCACACTTCGCTGCACGTCTCTGACGACGACAATCCAGCCTAGATTTTATTCACTTCAACCCATCAATCACTATTCAAACATACCTTTGCATACCTTCGTTCTCGACTTTGATTACCTTTGGTATCCTTGTATAGGGAGAGGATTCGGACGGTGACGTTAAAACCACTGTTTCCGTGACGTCTCTACGAGCATGAGAACTTGTCTACTAATTTAAAAGCCATTTGATTGTAGATATTAAATGTAGTTTTACCTAAGACACGCAAATACACCATTCAGTTAAACGCTAGATGATAGAGATGAGTATGCACAATTGTTAAATTAACCTTCAGGTTCGATTATGGTCAAAAGCCTGAAAGAGTGATTGGTATTAAAAACCCAAATAACCTGCTCACTACACTCTTCAAAGTAAAAGTACGATCCAAGTTTAAATGTGTTGTTTGCAAGCCATACGTTCGTACACCTGAGTGGCCAATCTTAGATACAACCATCGCTTAGGCAATGAAACCGTAATCGCATCAGTCCCTAATCACACAGTCTTTGAAGCTGAACGTATAATTGCTAGGGAGATTTACTTTCAACGCGTAACAATGATAGAGAATCAAGAATGATGAATGTGGGAAGAATTGGTCCGTAAGGCATGACTCAGCTTTGCGGGTGTAGTCATCCTCGAAACAAGTTTCTATTCACATTAAAATATATTATTCTTCAATCCAAATGTGTTCTTCAGAAGTGCTTAACATTGCACTGCTGATAGTCAGAATAAACAATGATGTGACTCCCACGTGGGATTTTATATATTAGGTAGTTTTTTAACAACAAATCTACAATTTTGGGACTTGATCTATTACGATTTTAACAAAGATAAATATACTAATACCGAACCAGATCATAATTCCATATAACAACCACTGTGATGACTGGACTGGACATAGAGAACCAACTAATTAGTGTTTGTTCGATTAGATCAAACTACGTTCTTTCGTATATCACTCAAAGCCTTTTAAAACCGCTCACACTAAATCACCTCTGTGCTTCATTTGATCGGTTCTGATTCCATGGCGAAAACAAATCACATCAAAAGCATAAAATACCTCGAACATTACAGCTTGAGCTATACACCCAAAATTCACTCTAGGATAGAACAGTATTCCAGGCAGTAGAAATAGTCGGAAAATAAGTGTTATATGTCTGAGGATCAATAGCAGTATTACCAGCAAAATAGGGTCAGAATCCATTAGCGACGATTTGAACGTCTGTTCCCAGCAGGCAGTCCCAAGATAACATATATCAACCGTCCAACTCCGTAAACATGATTTCAGTTAAACATTATATTAATGTTAATGATCTGACATCATAAAAAATAAACTGTCATCTACAGGGCGAACCGTAACCAAAATCGAATAATGACTGCCGAGGTGAAGAAGATTGCCAATGTACAAAAGACAGACGCAGTTGTTGTGGGTGGACGTTCAAGTATTAGACAGAGTGAAAGAAAATGAGAATGATATTATTGTCAAATAAGACTTACTAGGGGTTTAAGAGCATTTTTTCTGTCATAATCAATTATAACCACCCACTGACGACAATAACGAATTAAGTTTCTACTCCCCAAGACCAATCAACAATACAGTCACCCAGAGTAGCAGCAACCAGAATACAATTTTAGTTAAAACTAATGCAAAAATAGTTTTTAAAATCCCCAACGACATAGATCAGTTCATAAAGACTCTGAATTCGGGAGTCGTGTATGATAATAATTACAAACAAACTAGAAGATAAACGTAGTACCTGCAAGTTCAGATTTCAATGGAAGCCACGCCGCGTGGATAAATAAATAAACAGTTGTTGCCACTAAGAATGTATGCGTGTGAGCTTTACATAATCACGTCAGTACAAAAATGCAAATAGGATCTTGAGAATGATGTGCTATAGCATATTAGCTTAAATTCAGAATAATACTTACGAAACAGAAGGAAACAATGAATCACTCACCTCTATCAGATAATCGGAGAGGACAAAAATTAGACTGCCGGCCATCCTCTTAATCCTTACAACAAATCCAAGTTTTGATCAGCATAAACATCATCGAATGAACAGTCCTAAAGCAAGGGTCGACTCAAGCTGTTTAATTCTATGTTCAACACTGTTCGGATGCAAAAGGGCTATAAGCATTTTTACTCCATATGGTACGAATTTCGGACAATGCAGTAGGAATAAAACCTCTTACTGAATCGCTTACAATGCATCACGCACAAGATATAAAACAATTGGGAGGCTAAGACACAGCAGAGAGAGTCTTGAGCATCAAAGTCATAGATTGTTGCTGGATAGACAACAGAAAGAGCAATGTAGGAGCGATGTAGATCAAGACGATAGAGCAAATCATGATAGTTTGGACACCGGGCAGTTTTTCTCGTACTGCTAGATATTTGATGCTAAATCAAACAGGTTAAATCAGCCATGCGTCGAGCCAAAATCGACACCCCGGGGTATGACAAATGCAAAAACCCATCACAGATCACGACTAGTGGGGCAGAGTGCCTAAACAATCAGTTGTTTTGTTAGAAGCGAACATTTCGGGATGAACTTTTCAGTTGGAATAAATGCGGCTTCTTATACCATACTCACAGGATAAATCCGAACTGAGGTAATATACTTTGACGCCAGATTTTCTACTTAACAAACGATTCCTTCAGGCGTCCAATGCGACAGACTTTGATTTGATGATACTTGAAACACACTACCTTAGAACATATACTTTTGCAGTCGAAACATAGGAACGGGGTGGATTACCCATCAATAAACTTAAGGTAGCTGAAACCGGATTCGATATCATACAACAACGACAAAATATTTTTCGTAAAGCAGTTAAGTGCCATTTTTGCAGGCATGAACGATAAGTTACAAGATATATTCATTAAAAAGATACCAACCAGATAGATTTGTTCAACAGATAAAATCAGAAAGGATATGTGATAGATTATTCATGCAGATATATAAGTCGGTTTAAATATCGCTCTTTTAATTGTTGGAACTAAATGTCGATCGTTATGTCTGCACCTAAGCGTCTGAAAATGCATGTAATAGGATGACTTCGTAGAATGACAGAACAAACACTAGTTGAAGAATCAGCGAGCATGATAAGATAACCTTAGTATCACTGATTAGTTACCTTATTACTAATCATGAAGAGCCTGAGGCAATCAAAGTATCATGCACCCAAACATGGGTGAATCGAAGTGATGGCTTTCACCATACATGCTTGCTGGTCAATAACTCTACCCTCCCTTCTGTTTTGACATCATACTGTATTAAAGTGCTGGTTAGACTGCAGCTATGTCTTACCTCCATGCTCTACGCTCCACATCTTGTTAAAAAAAATAAATTTTACAAATATCCGGAATAGGCATATCAGACAATTAAAACTTGTAAAGTTGATGGGATATCGAAACGGTATCGCATAGGAGCATGAGATAAATTATGGGTTTCCAAACAAAATAAGTTAGTAGAAATAAACCAGTAGGCAAGACAATTATCATAATTATTCACAATCATCTTATGGGTACATAAGTGTTGTGAAGAAACCATTTCGAGTTTCTTTAAAAGTTCGATAACACATAAGTTTCAATAATGTTAACATTATATTTGCCATATTTGAAAATGAGAGAAAACAATAGTAATGAGAACGGAGCAGTAATAAATCACGTTCTGTGCAATTGAGAAAAATATTGAGTTTACTTCAGAAAAGGAAAGGGAGAAAATAAGGGAATGGAAATAAAGGAGACGTGAAATACGCAAATAGTTCAATAAGCGTGTTTATGAACACAAAACAAGAATAAACAACTATATATGTATCGTCAAATTAGTAGCAAAAATAAAGTAGAGAATTGCTAAGAAAAAATAACTTATTATTGCAGTAAGATACGAATAAATGTTTCACTAGTGAGTTTCACTAGTCACTAGTGAGCAGTTGACTAGTGACTAGCCGTTACCAGTGGAGTCCAACCAGGTCTGTTGTGAGATATCAGCTCACTGAAGACAATGGTGTACGGTGGCGCGAATTCGTGGATTGGTTGAAGTTAGACATTAACATCGTTGGATGCCGGCTCAATTGTCCAATGGTTAAGTGCTGGCGCGCGAGAGCAGTAGGTCCTGAGTTCGAATCCCGCGGCGTGTGGGGTCGTGGGTGCGCCCTGCTGGGGTCCGATACTAGGACGAAACGGCCGTCCAGTGCTTCCGGGTTTTCAATGGTGGTCTAGCTTCAACTGACTCATGATTTCAATCTGTGAAATTTCTATAATTACTACTTTGGAAAATTTTGAAGTAATGTAATGGGCCGTAGCCTTATCACGTGGACTTTTGAAAAGTGAGCCAAGGTTAAACTTGATAAGTCTAATCCATAAGGAGTCAAATTACCATGCTTAAAATCTATCTAAGTTAGGTTCAGTTTTATGAGGTAGAACTAATTCCAGTGATCTTATGTCTTTCTTGTAAACACATAGAATCGAATACGATCGAACAATATTCTAGTGGGAGTCGAACACGTACCTTATATAGAATCATTTCGGACTCCTTTT